GGGGACTGTTAAATACGATACAGCGAGGAAATGTCAGAGCCTGGCCTGGCACCTCCGCCCTTACTGCCCCACCTCTGTGTGTGTCTGTGTGTCTGTCTTGGAGGTTGTTTCATGTGGCCACACATAGAGCTGCCCCCTTCTTTCCAACAGCTGCCTATACCGCATGGTGCACTTGAACTTTGATCTATTTATCTGGATGGCTGTTAGTTTGTTTTGGAACTCTTACTAATAAATCTTTGCTAACTCAAAAAAAAAAAATGGTGAGTTCATGTAGTTCGGCCTAATACAAATGATGCTGCAGCAAGTGTTTTATTGAACAAACTCATGCGATTCAAATACTATTCTCAATGCTTTGTAAGTATTAAATTAGTTAATCCTTGGCAAAACCCTTTGAAGTAGGTACTTTTATATTCCTCATCAACCCTATTTTGCAGATGAAGAAATTGAGGCACAGAAAGGTTAAGTGACTTGCCTAAGGTCACACAGCCGACAAGTGGGAGAGCTGGGAGTTGAACCCTGAGAGGGGTCACAAGAATGAGGATATAAGCACTTGCCTTCCTGTCTCTTGTCCTTGGCCATTTATGTTGAGACTCACCTGTGGTGACATAGAGGGTAAATTCTCAGAAGTGGTTTTGCAGGTTCAGAAGGTGCATGTAAATTCTGCTCTTGCTGGCGGGACCAGGAGCTGGCCTGGGAGTGTCCTGAGTGTCGCCGGCTGAGGGACTGTGACACCCACCCCCACCCCACCCCCAGCTCTTGCCAGTGAGGCAGCTGCAGCTGGTCAGAGCCCAAGAGTCCGGAGCCCACACTGGGCTCTTTGTCTTCGGTGGGAACCCTGCAGCCCCCATGGCCCCTCTCAAGGGCCCACTGTCCCAGCACCAGCAGGGCCTCCCGGGGGCCAGGCCCGGCTGGGAAACTTGGCACATCAGAGGCCTCTTGGCCACCCTGCCAAGTGGACATGCAGAGCCCACTCAGGAATCATTCCCACTGAAAAGAGAGCGGCGAGGCTGAGGGAAATGTCCAGGTGGGTGCACCACCCTGGATGGGGCTGGAGTCCTGGGTCGCAGCCCTGACACTGTGCACACCCCTTATGACCCAGGCCCAGTTCCCGGGTCCTTGCCTCCACCCCAGCTCTCTGGGTGCCCCTGCTGCTGCTACCACTTAGGAAGGAAAGACTTTCTCCCTCTTTGGGCCAATCTCAGTGCTCCTAGGGTTTGCCCCTCGGGAGCCCTACCAGACTGCCCTGTGAGGAGTGGGCTTCCCACACTGCCCCGGAATCTGCCACCCTGCCCGGAGCAGAAGGAGCCCAGCCCTGGCTCCAGAGCACCCTGCCAAGAGAGAGCCAGACCCTCCTCTGAGAACCAAACCAAGGGAGTGGTTCTAGGGCTGCGAAAATCATGCTGGCCCTGCCCAGGCTCTGAACTCCGCAAGGGGCTCTTGAGGGCTCCTCCACCCACCAGAATGTGTGGAGAGGAGAAGGGGTCCCGGGTGGGGCAGAGAGAGGGGCTGGCGGGGGGTGGAAATCCACCAAGACAGGAATATTTGCTGTGAGCCAAGGTCTCAGTTTCTTCACATCTGAAATTAGGAGTCTGCTGTGCCCCCCATCCCCCACCTGGGTGAGGCAAACTGTGGAGGCTGGTACCCAGACCAGCCATGTCCCAGGGGAAGATGGAGCTCACTGAGCCCTGGCTCAGGGCCCAGGCGGAACAGCTCCTGAGAGGCTTCTGAAGAATCCCTGCCACCCTGTCGTTGTGCCCTTGGGTGTCCCTTCTCCCTCGTCCCCCCACTGCATCTGTTCCCTGCAGTCCCTCTAAACAGAAAACCCCATAGAAAACCTCAGGTTTCTATGAAGGCCTCCCTGGGTGCAGGGGGTGGGGGCAGAGTGGGTGTTCTGGGAGGGGTGGGTGAGTCCTGGGGACAGGGGCAGTGTCCCCCGTCTCCTGACACACCTTTACTTGGGTCAGGAGAGACTGTGAGTTCTGGGTGAGTTGGGTGCAGAGGAGGGCCTCAGAGTGTTTGTTGAGTGAATGTGTGAACGGCTCTAGAACTTCGAGCCCAGTTTCCCTCCGAAGGGAAGGTTGCTGAGGAACCCAGGATGGATGATTTTCAAGAAGAGGTTGGGGCATCTCCATTCCCCCTCTTCCTCTTCACCTGGGCAAAGAAGGGCTCCTGGGAGTGGGGGATGAGAGTGGGCAATTCCTTCCTTCACTCTTTCAAGAGCAGAGCTTCGACCCACAGTGCGGGACTCTCCTAGCTGACACTTATTTAGCATTTACTGTGTCAGGCCTGGGCAGAGCGCTCCACACACATTAACTCACCACAAGGGCCCCGCGGGATTCGTCCTATTTTACAGATGAGAAATTCGAGGTACAATGCAGACCATTTTGACCCTGGATTCCAAATTCTGGACCCGGCTCACTATGAGCTTCCCCTTCGTGATGACAGGGGGACAAATCCGCCGACAGAACCGGAAGGCTCTAGGGGGGATGGAAGAGGGTGTCGCCTCCAGAAGAGGGTCTGCAGCCCGGTACGCCCTGGTCTGGGGGTGGAGGGTTGGCCTTGTCCTAACCTCTCCCCGACCCCCGCTACCGCCGAGGCCCCGCGCGGCCCTCCCGCCTCCCCGCCCCGAGGTCCCAGCTCGGAAAGTCCAGCAAATCCCCTGCCCCCGGCCCGAGGGCGGCGCGAACAAGCGGCCCTTTCTGCGCGCGGCTGCCGACAGCTGGACCGCAGCCCGCGGGGGCGCGGACAATCCCGGGGCTTGTGGCCGGGGGCGGGGCGGCCCGGGTTGCCAAGGTGACCCGGGCGCGGGGAGGCGGCTCCGGCTCGGCGCGGGCCGGACGGGTGGCGCGGGCGGTGGCAAGCACCATGAGCGGCCGGAAGCGCAGCTTCACCTTCGGGGCCTACGGAGGGTAGGTGCGCCGGGCGGGGGCGCTCGTGCGCGCGCGGGGGTGCGCGGGGAAGGGCGGGGGGCGGGGGACGCGCGCGCCCGCGGGTGTCTGCCTTGGTTTCTGTAGTTGTGAATTTGTGCTTAGGTGTGAGGTGAGCGGTTTGATGTCAGTACGTAACTCGTAGGACTGGGAAGTCTGCGTGTGCGTGTGTGTGTGTTCCGATTGGGTGCCCCTGTGCACGCGTGGGGACGCGAGTGGCCGCGGGCATTTCTGTGTTTGTGTCTAAGTGTGTGACAGTGTTTATGTGTATGACTGTGTGTGGACCGGCAGGTGGGCCTGTGTGTGTGCACTCCTGGGTGCACGTATAGGTCGTGGGGGTGGGAAAAGGCAGGTCAAGGGGAGGCCCTGCAGGGGCCCTGACTTGGGCTCTGAAGCTGCTGGGCCCCAGCAGTGAGGCTTTGGAGGAAGGGAACCTAGAAGCCATTAGGAGGCCCCCGCCCACCTCCACCCCTGGGTACCTCGCTGCCCCTATCTCAGGCTGCCTGGCTCTCAGGAACCCCCTCCTCCCAGGGCTGCTGGCTGCCTGGACCTGGAGACCTGTGGAGGCGGGGGGAGTCAGTGGTGTCTGGTCCATCTTGGGGTCACTGTTCCTCCTGACCCCAAATGCCCACCCCAGAGGAGTGCAGAGGTGGGCTGGGAGGATCCTTGCCTTCAGCAGAGGTTTGGTAAATTGGAAGGAAGACTGGGTAGACAGACTGGCCAGAACCCCTTCCCTGGCTGGCCAAGCAGTTGCATAACCTTCACCAGGCCCTGCCTCCCTGTGGTCAGAGGGACACACGGGACCCACCTTTTGGGTGCAGAGCATTTGGGGCTCACACTGTAACACTGCAGAATATGTGCTCTTTGATCTGAGGGGATTGTGTCCAAGGTACTCCCCTCTCTGGACACCCAACCTCCAAGGGGACCCCGCAGAGGGGCTGGGTGGGGTGGGAGACAAGAGGGCTGCCCTCCCTGCCTGGGGCCCTGCTAGCCATCAGGTGATGGTCCTGGGTTGAGCCCTGAGCCTCCCGGTCAGCTGACACCGAGAGGCAGCCGGGCAGTGGGGCTGCATTCTGTTGTGTGACCTTGGGCGAGTCCTGGCCTCTCTGGCCTCACTTTCCCCATCTGCAGAGTCCGCATTAGCTGATCCCTGGGAGACCCCAGCCCTGCCTCCCCAGAAGATGTCTCCTTAGCTGGCGGAATCCGGTTTGGGGCCCCTTTCCGGTTCTCCTCTGGCCTCTGACCAGGAGGCAGGAGTTGTTTGTTGTCCCAACAGCTGCTGAGCCCCTCGGCCCCCAGCTGGGCTGGACGCTGGAGCCCTCCCCTATCTCAAGGTGCCCTCAGAGGGCAATGGGGGGAGCCTCTGGGAGGGGGCGCTGCCTATACACCCTCTCTAATGCTGGACCTGGAGAGAGTGGGGGAGACGAGGCCAGCGGGTGGCCCCTGAGCTCTGTGGGCTTGAGGTCTTCCTCTGGTTCTGCTCTGGGTTGGGGGTGGGTAAGGAGAGGAAGCCCCCCATGGGTCTCCTGCGCCCAGATTCCCAGGCGTTTGTCCCCTGGGTGGATGTGAGTGAGCTCCAGCTCCGGGATCGAGGCAGGCCACTGGGGAAGTAGAGGGGGGTGTTCTTCCTGCCCACCTTTACAAATACCCACACCCTTCAGTCCCGTCTGGAAACACTCTAAGTTGGTCCAGCCACACCCCTACATCCTTGCTCTGATCCCAAACTGCTGTAGTCACTGTCCCACCCCACCTGTTCCAGGACATCCCATGCTGAACCCCACCCCTGCTGCCACCCCATAGCCTGGTCCTGGGCCCCTGCTCCCCCGTCCCCAATCCTGTCTCTCTTCCTTTCTTCTTCACCCCACAACTTCACATGTCCCTAAACTGACATTAGGGCCCCTGCAGCCTATGGGGGATGGTGACAGTGCGTCAGGCACCTTAGAAGCAATACCTCCTCTAGGCCCCTCTGCAAGGGCGGTGGTGAGTTAGGATTGGCCTGATGTGCTGGGCGAGGCCTGGTAAGAGGGTCTGCCCCCCTCACCTGCTGTCCCTCTTGCTGTGTTTCAGGGTGGACAAGTCCTTCACCCCTCACCGGAGTGCGTGGTGAGTACTGAGGGGCTCTCGGGAGGGGCTGGGCTGCTTGGCCGAACTTTAGAGACACTCCCAAACCATTACTGCCCCCTGTAATGCCAGGCCAGACCCCACCAACCCTCCACCCATCCTCTGCAGGCCTTGGAGTGGGCAGACCCTCTTACCAGCTCTGTCCCATCACCACAGTTCTTTCTAGAGCTCTGCCTTGGAGTCAGGCAAATCAGGTTAAATCTCAGCTCTGCCATTGCCTGTGTGACCTTCAGCAATTCACTCACCTCTGTGAACTTCAGAGCTCTAATCTGTGAAATGGGGACTAAAATGCCTATTTAGCAGAGCGAAAGCTGTACCCAAAAAAAAAAGCAAAACAGGGCCTGGCAGAGTGTAGGCCACCAGTGAAAGGGTTTCCTTCCTTTCCTCTATTCTTTCCCATCTCATGGTGTCTCCTGGCCACTGACCCCCAAACCCTCTACTTCCACTCCATACATAGCCTTCAGGACGCCCTCCTCCAGCCCATTTCCTGTGTCTGAGGCTGCCTCTCTCTGGAGGAGGAAGTGTCTGCAGCTTCCCCAACACTGTGAGTAGTGGGTGGAGGTGCAGCCTCACCTCGGGATTCACACCCCCCAGCCCGATGCCCCAGCAGGCGGGTGCCTCCCGGCTTCCCTGGCACCGGCATCACTTGGGTCCGGCTGGCTGCTCCTGCTGCCACTTTAACTCCAGCAGGAAAGCCCCCAACTGCTCTGGCTTCTGCTTTCTGCCCCTGCTGAGGGCTTCCTGGGGTCCCCAGGCCCTGCAGTGCCCCCCAGCTGCTGGATGACTCCTATCTGGCACCATTGCCTTACCTGCTGCCAAGAGCTCCCTAGGAAGCCACACCTGGGGCAGGAGGCAAACGGGGTGCCCAGGCTGAGCTCCAGGGCCTGCCCTTTTATTTTCCTCTGATGCTCTCTGTGCCACCTGGAGCCAGTTACTCTCCCTCTCTGGGTTTTGTCTCCTGCTGCTGTGCCTCTGCTACGTGCAAAGCCAGTTTGAGTCTCTACCATGTGCAAGGCCATATGCCAAGCCCAGCGCAGGGGTAGGGCGAGGAGAGATACAGATGGAGGTGAGAAAAGTGCCCTTTCTGTCAAGGAGTTCAATAATAGTATCCCAACAACTGCCATTTGTCAAGAACCTGCTGTGCACTGGGTACTGTTAGGTGCTTGAATTGCATCATCTCACGTAATCTTTCCCACATCGCTGAGTCAGGGACTACTAGCCTTAACTACAGATGAGAAGAATGGTGCATGGAAGGGGTAAGTGACTTGCCCGGGTTCACACAGCTAGTCAGTGGCAGAGCTGGGATTTGAATCTTGATCTTCCAGGCTCTGTGCAGAGCCCAGAGTCTCACTCACTCCGTCCCAGGGCCTCCAGGCCACAGGGCAGATCTGACAGATGCACCTGAGGGAAGACTTGAAGATGGAGGAGGACTCAGAAGGATGGAGGAGTGACTCAGAAAGCCCACTCTAGGGAGCCTTGAATGAAGAGTCAAAGAGACGAGGGTCTAGGACTAATAGTAACTAACCACTGTGCGACTTTGGGCAAGTCCCTTCCCCTCTCTGGGCCTCAGTTGACACATTTACAAAATAAGGTTCTGGGATGACCAGGACTTGCCCATCACCCACAATGCCTTGCCCCACGCCCTCCTTGCTGGAGCTGCTGTCCTTGGTGCTAGCCCCTAGGCCCTCTCTTCCCTCATCCCCAAGCCAATTGCTTAGCCCCCAGCCTGTGCCTGGCATCTAGGTAGTGCCCTGTAAGTGGGTGGTCACTTTGACTATCGGTTATGATCTTCTGGCATTCAAGGCCTGTCTCCACCTCACCTTCCAGGCTGGCACTCACTTCTCCCATGCCCTGCATTTCCGATCAATGGGAATATGGTCCCCATGAGCACCACCTCCAGGCTTTGGCTCACATTGTCCCCTCCTCTCGACCTGCCCTCCCCTCCCATTTCCACAAGCCCTCACCACACCTGCAGCCCATCTTTATCACCATTTGTTGAGTGTTTGCTTTCCTGATCCCCACACCTCCTCTTTTTCTCCTTGAATGCCGTTTCTGCTGCTTACCATGCTTGTAGAGCACACAGTAGAGCTTACTCCTAGTGCAGTGGAAAGGCCATGGCCTTTGGAGTCTGACAGACATTGATTTGAATCTGCCTCTGTCACACACTAGTGGTGTGACCTTGGGCAGGTCACTTCCCCTCTCTGAGCCCCATTTGGTGCTCAATGGTATTTAATGAATTGGATCTTTCAGCGAGTTAACCTCAGTTGAGTTGAACGAATCCACACAAGAGTGTGGTGTGAGGCAGGGTCTGAGGTCCTTGAAAGCAGAGGTTGCTTGAGTTACTTTTGACTTAGGCCCACTTTCCAGCATGAGTCCCATAAGAGCTGGGCTGTACTCTTCTCATCTCTCCATCCTCCACACAGTCTTGCCCAGCTGCCCAAACCCAGTAAATGCTTAATGAATGTTTGTGGGATTGAATTGAATGTGTCCAGAGGGTGGAAGAGGTGAAACCTTGTCAGGTAGACTGAGAGGGGGTGTGGTTTTCACCACGTATTTTTTTTTTTTTGCGGTACGCGGGCCTCTCACTGTTGTGGCCTCTCGCGTTGCGGAGCACAGGCTCCGGACGCGCAGGCTCAGCGGCCATGGCTCACGGGCCCAGCCGCTCCGCGGCATGTGGGATCTTGCCAGACCAGGGCACGAACCCGCGTCCCCTGCATCGGCAGGCGGACTCTCAACCACTGCGCCACCTGGAAAGCCCTCACCGTGTATTTTTAAAAAGGATTAAGAGGTAGGGGCTTGGATCAAGGGAGCAGTGAGGCCTGGTAGAGACCAGACGTGATCATGGCTGGATTCCCCTACCCCCTGCCTCTCATCAGCAGATTATCTACAGTGAAAGAACACAGAACAAGTGTGCAAATGCCAAGGAATGAGGCCCAGTAGGGGGATTAGGAGCCAGTGGGATAGTGGGTGACTCTGGTTCCGCAGCCCTAATGGACATTACGGTGGATTCAAATGGTGGGGGGAGGAGGGAGGTGGAACAGTGTCAGAGTGGGGGAATGGCTAGGTGGAGTTGTGCAGGGAAGGTGGGTTCTGGAAATACCCTGGGAAGAGGAGGTTCAGCTTTGACCTTAAAGCTGGGCCCCTGGGAGGAGGAGCAGGACCTGGCAAGGACTCAGTGCCAGTGCCTGCTGGGCATTTTACTGTGGTGACCTCATTAAGTCATGATGACAGTCCTGAAAGTTGGCCTTAGTGTCCCCTTTATAGAGGCCAAAACCAAGACTGAGCACGTTGAAGACTCTGGCCCAAAGTTGCACAGCTGGCAAAGGCTGGATTTGAATCCAGCTTTTCCTCCTGCCAGGGAAGGGTCCTTGGCCAGAGACAAGGAAGCCACAGGAATGAGAAAAATCCTGGTTATGCGGTGAGAGAGGAGGACGAGGAGAGTGAGATAATCCTGGAACACCTCCAAAGCAGAGGGCACTGCCCAGCCCCCTGTGTCCCACCGGGAGGGCCTCTCTGGTCACTGAGATATTTCCCCGTGATAGTAATGGTACCAGTTGCTCCCATATATGAAACATTTCCCCGGTCTCAGGCCCTGGGCTGAGAACTTCATTTAAATTATTTCATTCCATCCTCATACCAGCTTTACAAAGTAGAGACTATTACTATCTGTCTCCCATTTTACAGATGAGGAAACTGAGGCTCAGAGAGGGGACCTGGCTGGCCCAGGGGAACACAGTCCGTGCGTGGTGAACAAGACTGGCAGCAGGGTCAGCCTGAGCCTGTACCTTTAGCTCCAGCTCTCCTGGAGGCTGCCTGTGCTGACTGGGGGTCTTGGGTGGGCAGCCCCTGTCAGGTGGTTCCTTTCTGTAATCACTGAGCCGGAGGCCCTGGGCGGCGGAGGGAGCCTGTGTGCTGCTGCAGGAAGCATGAGGCTGGCCTCATTAGTGGTTCTGAAATGCCAGGCGGGCACAGCCTGCTGGGCCTCCTTTTCTATTATGCATCTGGTGGGCAGGACCCCGGTGGGCAGCTGGCAGAGCACAGGACAGGGGAGCTAGCTACCACTTCTTGAGCCCACACCTGCCACCACACCTCTGAGCAGGGATCCCCCAGGGCGAACGCCAGGGCAGCTCCTGCCTCATTCCCCCAGCCCAGCCTGGGTGAGGGGGTTCCACAGGGGACAGGAGCGTGGATGCTGGTGCCCAGCTCATTAGTCTGCCTGTCTCAGCAGCTACTTCTGAGAGAGGCTGGGACCTTGATTGAGCTGAGAGTCATTTGGGACTAGGGTGGGCAGAGGCAGGCTGCTATAGAGTCTTAGGTGCACAGGCTCCTGGCTGCACAGCACCTCGGAGCGACGGTAGTCTTGGTCACTTATTCATCATTCATTCAGCTATAAGGAACTACCGAACACCTACTGTAAGCCAGACACAGTTCTAGGGACTGCAGATTCAGTGGAGAACGAGACAGGCGCAGTCCCTATCTTCAGAGAGATTGATTTGGTCAGTTCTTCACCTCTGAACCTCAGTTTCCTCATGTGTAAAACAGGGAGTAGGGGAGACAGTCTATAAATAGACGCCCCCCCAAAATAGCAAAAGACAGACTCTGATGGTTGCTAGCAAGAGCTGACCCTTACTTGGAGCTTAGCCAGCATGCTGTGTTCCAAAGCCCTTTCCATATATTGATGAATTGAATCCTCACAACCCCATGAGGCAGGTACTGTCATTACTCCTGGTTTAGGGCTGAGGAAACTGAGGCATAGAGAAGCCAAGTAACTTATTCAAGGTCTCTTGGCCAGGCTGAGATTTGAACACAAGCAGCTGGGCTCCAGCTTGTGCATCACCCTGTACTGTGAAGCTGTGGGCTGAGGGATGGAGTCATGGAAGGCTTTTCCGAGGAGGTGGCATTTGAACCAAAATCTGGAGAATGAGAAGAGCCACTTGAGAAAGCAGCAGATGCAAAGGCCCTGAGGCAGGAGTGAGTTTGGT